TAAAGTTATGAATAACAAAAATACAAATCAAGATAATTAACTCAGGTTAATTTAAAATCATTAAAAAAAATTAGATTCGGCAATATAAAATATCAATATACAATATAAGATGTTATTATATTACATAATGATTTAATTAAATAAAAATTATTTTTATATTTTTATAACATTTTGTAAATATTCATATTTTTTTTAAGATTAACTTCAATATTTCAAAATTTTTATAAACTTTCGAAAACTTTTGAAAGTTTTTTTCGGTATGTAAAAAAATTGTAAAAATGTATAAATTTTTTATATAAAACTATGTACAATTTTTAGTATGTAAAAAATTATAAAATTACAAAAAAAATTACATAAATTTACAATTTTTTTATACACCAAAAGTCTTATATAGTTTTATGTTAAATTTTATACATTTTTATGATTTTCTTATATACTATAAATATTTTCGAAAGTTTACATACATATATTTTTGCTGATAGATAAATAATGAGTGATACCTTGGTTAGATTAGGAATAAATAGCAGTTGTAACTAGAGAGTTTAAATAGGCATCTCCTGTAGTTGGGGTGCAGGTACAGCAAATATATAGTGTAGAACCTTTAAGCAGACTACTTAAATTAGGCATCAAAAGTGCACATGTGGCTTGATATACCCTTATTGTAATTGTAACCTAACATTAACTAGGAACTGGAAACCAGTAAAAGTCTGGAGCATAAAAGTGTATAGGAAGCAGTACAAATTGATTAGTATTGGTATAAAAGGTCTATACAATGGTAATATATCACTTATGTAATAGAAATATTTGACCAATCAGCATTCATAAAAGCGGATGAAAGGACAACTCCACATGATCTTGATGATCACAGTCTATTGTAAAAACAGAGTGTCCTCCGCTTTGCTCCGAACAATAACTTAATAAAAAGTTTTTGGCTAGAGAGATCACCTTAACACTTAAAAAAAAAAAAAAATTGTAGATTACTATAAATTTTTTGTAACCATAACTAAGATTAAGTATAATATGAATATCAAAACAATATTTTTTTATAAAATAAGCTTTTGTAGTTAAAGGTTAAAGTTAGGATAATATTATAGTTGAAGCAAAATATAATTTATATCAAAATTTAGCAAGGAATTTTTTTTGTTAGAACATAAAAAATGGTTTTATAATCAAAATTTTGTGTTATTAAAATTTTTTTAGAAAAAATAGTTTTTGTCTTGATTTTGCATTACACCTGATCTTGAAATTTAATTGGCTTAATTTAATGCTGCACAGTGCGGTTACAATAACCGTGGTTACAAATTTATTAATACTGATTTTATTAGAATTTTATATATAAAAAATTTACATGTGACATATCGTGTGACTGATATCTAACATGGCGTATAATTGGCAAGTTTTTTTTATTAGAAAATGTACTAGTTTAATAAATTAAAAAAAATTTATCCATCTATAACCAAAAACTAATTATATATATAGTTATTTTTGCTGCTATGTATACATATATAAAGAGTAATAACCACATGCGAAATTTGAAATTCGATTAGGTTACAGTATATCCTGATGAATATTTTATTTTAAAGTGGATCTGATCCAATCTTTAAATTGCTAATTTGAACTATTGTAGTTTTAATACATATATTTTTAATAAAAAAACGATAAATAATCACATCGTCCCCTAGATGCGAAGAATATTTATTTCGCAGGACGCGATGTCTAATTTAATTCTTTACTTTATATTATAATATAAAATATAAAATATTTATAATTTACACAAGTTACTCTTGTTATAATAAAGTAATTAGTTCTATATATTAATTAGAAATTTACTACATATCAGATATCAGATATATTGAAAGTTTTATTAGTAGATTCTATATCGAAAAGAATTTCATATTAAGTATAACTTCGCTGTATCGAGATTTTAAAAATTTGTTACATCTGATCCGCCAAATTTGCGATTTTCTATATCGATATATCGATATCTATATAGAATTATGCCTATTGCATAAATATATTTTTTTTAAAGATTTAATATGGTATATAAATTTCTGTTTTGTTTAACAAATAAGTAGAAATCTAGATATAAATGAAGACATTTTATTTAATATGTACGTACATAAACATTAATTATATACCTGTTATAGTAAGTATATAAACAAAATGTTCTCTATGTCTTTTTTTTCTTTCTCCTAGAATAAGTTATAGAATACACAATATTCTCGATATAACAAACTTTTTATTATGTATATAAAGCTTTTATTTTTTAGCATTTGGTCTATGCACAGTGTGAACGGATGCCTATTTTAAATAAATTAGATAAAACAAAGTAACATATGATAGAACAACGAAATTGAATCAGATTAATTACCTGATTAACAGGATACATAGTGACATCTGAAATGTTAACATGGTCGGGTCTAGATGCTACAAATACCACAGTTTCGGCTATTCATAACAGTTTAATATTAGTAAATAAAATAAATAAATACAAATATGCAAATATTATTAAGAATTTATACCAATATCTTCACCAGTCAATGGTGTCTTTAAATCGGAAAAAATGGATAAAAAATCGAATCAGGTTTAAACAAGATGTAATAATAAACAAATCAAGCAAAAATAACTTACCACGCCTTCATAAACCTTGTCAGCTCTCGATTTATCTCCACCGAATCTAACGATAGAGAATTCTGTTTCTACCATGCCTAAAGAGAAACAAAAAAAAACTTTCAGAGATAAAGTTTTATAAGAAATAATAAATTAAAAAATTAAAATTTACCAGGATTTATCTCTGTGATCCTGATGGGCGTATCCACCTTTCGTGGAAATTAACAATTACAGTCACACACGTACAGACATTTACGTTAATAGAAATTGATGGACATAAGATTAACGAAAATTACCAATTCATAAAGCAATGTCCTTGAAATTGCGTTGACAGCATGTTTTGATGCGCAATATACACCAGCATTAGCATAAACTTGTTTTCCTATGAATTATATAATTTACAAATAAACATCCAAACATTTTAATATAAAGATTGGATCGAAGATGTCAGATAACAAACCTGATATGGAACCAATATTAATTATATGGCCTTTTTGACGCTCCTTCATTCTCGGAAGTACAGCCTGAGTTACATATAATAATCCTTTAACATTTGTATCAATCATAGTGTCAATATCATCGGAAGAGACATCCCCAATTTTATCCATTCCTTTAACTAGTCCTTTTTTTTTTTAAAAAAAAAAAAAGCTGTAAAATAATTGTAATAAATAAAATTAATTTTAAAAAAGAATTATGTTTGAATTAAAAGGTTACCAGCATTATTAACCAAAACATCAATATCCTTTAGATCACTAGGTAAACTTGAAACCAATTGATCAACTGTAGATTTATCGCGTACGTCCAACTGACGAGTATAAATTTTTAATTTTGGGTGTTCAGATAAAAGAATTTGCTTCAGTTCATTCAGGCGATCAATTCTACGTGCAGTTAGAATCTAATTCAAGAATAAGTAAAGGGCAAAAGCAAAAATAGAAAATTTATTTTGGAAAAGATTGAGAGAGAGAGAATACGGGAAGTAGATGTAAATGAATTGATAAAATATGAATTGATGTTAAGAATTTTGTAGGAAAAAGTTATAAATCTAATAGAAATAAAGTGCAATCACCAAATTCGAGCCAACTTTTGCGAATTCTTTGGCGCATGCTTCGCCTATACCGGCAGAAGCACCAGTGCTAAAAATTTATTAAACAAACGAAATCAAAAAAAATCAGATAAATATTGTTTTAACAAAACACTTCGTAGAACTTGAACTTTTTCAAATGCTATTTTTGAAAAGCCACTTTGCCTCTTTAAACTAAAGCATAAGATTTAAAGCCAAAAAAAAAAAAAAAATTGAAAATATATAATTTAAATGAACAAATACATTAATACAGTTTTATTTTTAAGTCTACTCATTGTGGCATTCTTGAAAAGACTTAGTGTTTGTCGAAACATATTAGATTAAGAAAAAAAATGAATATATCGAAAAAAATGCATTTACATGTGATTGATATTACAGTATGCTGTAGTATTACATAATCAATGTTCGGAATAAACAGGAGGAGGTAATGAAATAGCGTTAGAACGACTGCAACTAGGAAATGATGAAAATTCTTCGTATGGTGGAGAATCTTCTATGTTACGCACAGCGTTTATATTATCATGAACAACGACGTGAGCACTCTCTACTTGATATGCAGGGGGGAATCCTATTTCAATTATCAAAAACTTTAGATAGAGAATTTATTAGAATTATAATGATTAATGATAAATCAGAAAAAAGTATATATCGATATGTTGTAAGTGAAATGGAATTAAGTTGATATTAAAATTAAACGAGGATTAGATTACTATTAGATTTTAGGTGTAGTTTTTAAGTTCCAATATAAATGGATTCCAATCAATTCTAGTTCCGTTCCCACTTACAACATATAAATATATATTGTAATAAGTACCATTTTAATCTTAGAAAATTTAAAATATGAAATACGGCTTTGCAATTCTTTATACAATTTCCAATTAACATTACGCTTATTATCTTCTTTATTGAATTCTCGTATTAATTTTGATAGAGAATTGATCTGTTACAATTTCAAAGGTTTAGTTAAACTTAGTAAAAACCACAACAATTTGAATAATGAATTACCTACTTACGTGTTTTCTTTTCTGATGAATAATGAAAAATATAAACATAACCGATATTAAAAATATAACTATCACGATCCCTATGATAATTCGTTGTTCATCAGCGAAAGGACCTAAAGTTTTCACCGCCACAACACTTAATACAAATGTTGTTATGACGAATACAAGAGGTATTTGTACGATCATTCTATTTATTGATAATTTGAGGGAGATTGAATTAAATATTTGAATTTTTTCAAAAAATTCTTGACGTGATAACTATTTAATTAAATATGAATTTAAGAAAATGTAGAAAAATGTGAGAACAAGATGATAAAATGCAAATAAGATGAAAAAAACTTACAAATCCTTCGAGATCCTGATTATATTCAATACTTTCAGAAACTCTCAATTTAGTCAAAGGGAATCTCACAACTTCTAACATATGCTCATCTGATATTACGCCACTTGCCATCATGAATTTATTCTTTAAAAATCGGTTTCTTGTTTATATCCTTTCAATATTGCTAATAATATTATTTAATAAAATATCTAAGCTTTTATAGGGTTGATAATTGTCATTTTCATCGTTCAAACTAATGATTTTCTACATAAAATAATAAAGATCCTAACCAAATTATCAAATTCTAAGATCATTATTGTTTCATCCACTAATATATGAATAATTAAATTTACTTAGTAGACGTATACATACTTAAAATTTTAAATTAGTAAAAGGGAAATCTTCAATTATCACTGCATTGAAATAAATTTATTCGGCAAAGCAAAACGATAAAGCATTTATTTAATACTATGAAATTCCCTATATAGTAAAGTTCAAATTTAGAAATCGCTTATCGTTACGTATTATTTTTATAATAAATATATATATTATAATAATCTTTGCTGATCATAACGATAGAAAGTTGTAACTCTTAAAATATGTAGATAACGGCCAAGAAATTTTTAAAAATATATGCGAGCCGGCAAAAAAATTATTTTGTCAGGCCCGCGCGGACCCTTATGCAATTATATGTAGGTATATAATTATATATATATATATATATATATATATATATATATATATATATATATATATATATATATATATATATACTATTTTTTTAAAAAAATTATTATTTCTATTAATATATTATAAAAAACACTTTTTACAATTT